TCCTGTCGGTAAACTTAAAAGAATGATGAGCTATATGGATCTTTGAAAGGGCTAATGTTAGAAAGCTCCCTTTTGGAGCCAGTCATGCTTCTGTCTTACCCTCTGTGCATATTTTTTGACTCTCACACTAAAATAATAAACTTTTTTTCCTAGTAACTTCAGAGTCTAATAGGGAAAGTTATTTTTGAGTAATGAAGTAACGCTTCTGCCCTAGCATGAAGTTCAGTAGTTAATAGGCTTTGCTTTTAATGTGACTTTTTCATGTTCTTTTCAGATGGAGATCTTATAACGATTTTCGATAGCTCAGATCTTTCCTTTGCAATTCAATGCAGTAGGATACTTAAGCTTACATTGTTTGGTAAGTATTTTGTCTTTTACTTCTTTTTTTAATAATGTTTATTAAAATTCAGGCAGTGGGCTTCACTGGAAGGTAGTAAAAACTTCCAGTTTGTCACATGAGAAGAGTGAAATCAGTAAGTTAAAAATACTGGATTAATACACGATAACTATTTTCTCTCATGATGTTTCATGTGACATCTGAACTTATGGAAACCAAAACTATTTCTTTTTATAAGATTGCTTAAAGTATTTGGCATACATATGTATGTGGTCAATGTTTTTTCTTAATATTATGTTGCATGTTATCTTCTACTCTCTAGCATTTGTGGGGTTTTCTTCACAGGTGCATGAGAAATTTTAGATGATGATTATCGTGCAGTGTTACTAGTACATGGCTAAAAACTAACATTAATTGCTTAAAATTGAATAGATGTAAACATTTATCCTTTGGTCTTTGTATAAAATAGTCACTTCAAAATAAAGAACTATTGGTATATTAGCACATAGTTCCAAGGAACAGCAAGCAGCCTTTAACTTGGACACTGACCTTATTCATGAATTGCAGCAGTGTTGTGTATGCTCCGTTAGTTGTAAAGGCACCTACTAAAGGGGACAGCTTTCCACAACCAAGTGTGATACTTGTATTGTTCAGGGTATATTCATGGAAATGAGTAAACAATGCAGAAACTTACTGCAGGCTTTACTCTGCTGTTCTGGTACTGTGGATTGTGCTGAACTGAGATTATATTAAAGAAACGGTAAACTCTAGAATGAGTTCAGTTTGTGTTGACTGAACTTTGTCACTTTAAACTCCACAGAAGATGATGACGCTGAAAGCAAGTAAAAGTTGGGAATTTTTTTTTTCAATTTTAAACAGTATGTCAAAATGTTACTACTGTCTTAAATTTATCTAATTGCTGTTTTGCAGTGAATGGACAACCAAGACCCCTAGAATCTAATCAGGTGAAATACCTGCGTCGAGAGCTGATAGAACTTCGCAATAAAGTCAATCGTTTACTGGACTGTTTAGAACCACCAGCTGAACCAGGGCTTTCCACTAATCTGCCTGAAAGTGGTAGGCAGCCTGGCAAAGAATTGTTTGGTTTGATTTGCATAGTTGTGTGCTGTTTTAACAAAGTGAAAAATGGAGGCTTGAGTACTGGTTGTGATGATTCTTAATTGTTGCTTGATGGCTCAGAACTTAATTTTTAATGCTTCAGTTATTTCAGAGGCAGATTTTTTATTCAGATTATCTGGAGTAAAGCACTAAGTTAACTTAGGAATAAAACTTCAAAGTCTGAGTTTTTGTTGCAATGTACGAAAATGCTGTAACTAACACTTGTGAGTCACGACAACATTTTGAGAGGGCTTTGAGCTGACTTAATAGTTTGTTGTTGCTGAAGAGTTCTTGTTCCCAGCTGAGCACTCCCACTGCTTACTTTGGGCTAGCTCTGGTGCTTATCTTGTCATGTTGCTAAGCAAGTTTGATTCACTAAAACAGTAAAAAGTGAATTCAGCAAAAGTTATATCCACTTTTTTTGCCAGGTTAGGAAATTGAATCCACACATTTTGAGCTCACATCAGCATCAGAGTTGTCTCGGGGTAAGCAGCTAAGCAGCACAAGGGTGCAGATAGGGGTGGGAAAGGATTATCAGGGGAGGACAAAATGGGGAAGAAAGTCATATTCTCCCAGTTTTGAGGCATTGATCTCCTAGCTTAAGGCTGTTGTACTGTAAAAACTATACCTTTGTGTGCTTTACTACAGATTTTGGGTAAGCTGGACACAGAAAATAGTGACACAAAGTCATGGAGTACAGTGTTCTGAGTAAAGAGGTGAACCAAGAACTCTAGCCTTTTAGGAAATGCTGCTTTTGTATTCTACACTTCAAAGTTTTACTGGTTTTGTGGTTTAAAACATCCCAGCCCCTGTTCCTACAATATAAGCAATTACTAATTTCCGTGGAATACCATGGATTCTGGTTATAAACTATTGGGAAGGAGGTTAGGGTAATGATTTTGGAGTGTAAACAAAACTAGCCAGTCTAAACCCTATCTGTACTTGTTTTTAAGAGAAAATGTAGCCCTCTACTAGGTGAGGGGTTTATGAGTGATTCAGTGTTACCTGTATAATTGTGAAGAGGTGAACTGCACCTGTCAGCTTAGGAAGAATTCGGGGAGAAGGGGATAGAACAAAACAAAAACTGCAGTTGATAAAACACTATGATAAACTGGAACCTATCCTGTAAGTTTTCTTTGAACTCTGTAGGCAAGTTATGCCAGAACAGTTTGTTTGAAGCAGGAACCTTGTACCTTTGAATTTAAGACAGAGTGATCCGTGATACTGATACTCCACAGTGTCAGAGTATCTTTAAGTAACTGCAATGAAACCTAAGCTTTGTGATTCATCACAGTTTAAGATTCATCACTGATTCATCACTGTTATCCTAACATAAGCATTTCAACAGTTAAAACTTTT